ATGTGAAAGCACGTAGGATGTGTGCAGCAATATACTCCTACTTTGCCTCGCTCGATGCAGGGTCTTGTCTCTATTAGATGTTTTCTTTGTGAACTAATTTCATCTTCTGCAAGAACGCTAAGTGGTTTGTTAATGAGAACTTTTGTCAGCTTCGAGGTTGTCATCAGTATCCGTTTGCACGAGTTGCCGCGTTATAAATTTAAAGGGAAATGAGGACGCTAATTGGCACTTCAAAAGCATGCATTCCATTTATCGCAATCATTCCATCTCGTTTGTGCAGGGAGGTATTTCGCCAACGTATAGCCAGCTTTACTTACAAATCAAATTCTTAGGTATGTGCATATAAACCACGAATCACTCAAGCCTTTTAGGGCATGAAAAGATATGGCAGAAAAATTCTGGACTGAATACCTCATCAGGTGCTCCTTTCATGTCATCCCCCGGCTTTTCTGCACCTATTGCAATTGAAGCATGTATAATCACACCGCTGTATTCCTTAGAATATAGAAAGAAATGCGAAATGTACAGTGCAACGACTCCTGTCTATCTTTTGCTGTTACCATGATTAAGCTGTTGTGCTATGTGCCAACCTAGGGCCAAGTCCAGGTTTTTTGCACATCCGAGAAGGTTTGAGGCATTTGGAGCCGCAATGTCTACCGTATATTGCATGAAGCCGCCTATGAGATTTTTAGCGTAGATGTCTAGATCACATTGGAATCGTTCACAAATCGTCCGTATTCGTCGGTCATCAGGATCGTTGAGCATTTTATTTATTGCCTCGGTCTCTTTGAGGAAGAAGCGAAATTTGTTTGGTTGTGGTGGGCTCTGAAATCTGCCCGCTTTTCCTCTTGTCGAAGGTGACCTATTTCTCGTTCGTCTCGGGCTTTTGGAGCTCCTTCGTCCTCCCAAATTGTCCACTGCGTTGTGACGAGGATCAATTTTGGGACTTGCTGAGAAGTAGACTGCTTTCTTAGTTGTTTTAGACGAAGTGGTATCATTTCTTGAGTCCGCGAATTTCCGCCTCAGAGCCGGAGACGAAGACTTGCTACAAATGCTAGGACTGGGTGACTGTCTTTTAACGCCATTTTGATTGAAACTAAAGCAATTCTTTTTGCACTCCTGACTGCCCGCAACGGGTACACAGTTAGTGCGTTGCGCCTTTAGGGGGCTGCTCTGATTTCTTATGGATCTGGCATTGATATCGTCTTTTAAATGAATGGCGTCTTGGTATTTCAAGTCCCCTGCGTCAAGACTAAGAATGTGGCCAGCTCTTGCGCACGCCCTCAGCTTTGGTTTGGAGATATTTTCTTCTACACCGCGAACCTGTTTCCTGCGTGTAGCATCGTCGTGAACTTTGCCTTCGTCTCCATAAGCCTGACTAGGCGCCAAACATGGCGTAACCATGGATGGTTGCAAGACACACTTCTTAACGCCTACTGGCGTGCTGTTAGGAAATATCGGTTGTATGGTGTTAGTCTCGTTATCTCGCATAAACGCATAACCAACACCAGCCTGTATGAATTTACTTTGCGTAACTTGATCTCCAACCTGGTTAGCGACACTCCTCTGGATTGAGTTCTCTCGTCTCGGTCTCGAATTCTTTTTGCGACCTCCAGCGGGCGAAACATCAGTCAATCTAGTGCGTCTCACATCGGCATCTCTGCTAGGCCTCTGCGACTTCTTCAATTCATAGCACCTCCCTGCACCCCTAGAGTTGATGGTTGTGTCTAAAGGTGACTCAACTAATGACGGATCAGTTCCCAGGGAGTCCGTTCTACTTTGAGAATTATTGGGCACTCTTGTTAGGTTCGAGTCCACCTGGTGGCTGCTCGTTCTCCGATTTAGGGACCTTGAATCTTTATCGGCAGCGCAATTCCGACCGTAGTACGACAACCTACCAGACTCCTTTACCTTAGATTCTGGCGACTTCGTGGATTTCTCCCCCCTAATTACAGAGTGCAAGGTTCCCATACCCAGACGTTGTCACAGCGGCGAATTAGCACAAAATCAATTTGTTCAAATACGCCACGTGCTCCCCACCATGTGACGACTCAAATAAATTCGATCACGATGAATGAAATATTCCAACCGTTTCAATGTTCCCTATTTGATAACAAGTAATCAGCTGACGAGTCGCCAATGATTAGCTCCTCTGAAGGAAAATACGACGCCCACATCTCCCAATTGAACAACATCCAAACCACGGTTCACAACACAAGCTGTCTCCAGTTCGAGTTCATTTGATTGAACGAACAACAGCGTCTCCACACCAGTACTTTATGAACACGAGGACAAAAGAAGCCCTTGAATGGCTGAATGTCAAACTCAGCGACTCACATTACAGGAAACAGCCTTCAATTAATTCCATAATCACAAGAAGAACGGCACCCGCCCACACTTTGCCGAATGCCCTGATCACACTTGTTATGTGCACCTTGTGATACTGAAGAAGCGGAAGCGTTTTGAGGATGGAAGTACCATCCTCACGTTGAAGCAAAAGCAACATCT